CAGTTATGCCAGCACCATTTATTGAAGATGCTATCTTTTTTCCATTGTATAATTTTAGCTTCTTTGTTGAAAATCAGGTGTTCATAGGTTTGTGGATTAATCTCAGGGTTTTCAATTTGATTCCATTGGTCTACCTGTCTATTTTTGTGCCAATACCAAGCAATTTTCAGGATTATAGCTCTATAATAGAGCTTGAAGTCAGGGATGGTGATGCCTCCGGACGTTGCTTTGTTGAGCAGGGTTGTCTTGGCTATCCTGGGTTTTTTGTTTTTCCATATAAACTTAAGAATTATTCTTTCAAGGTCCGTGAATAATTGTGCTGGGATTTTGATGGGGATTGCATTGAGTCTGTAAGATTGCTTTTGGAAGGATTGCCATTTTTACTACATTGATCCTACCTATCCAAGAGCATGGGAGATCTTTCCATTTTCTGGTGTCTTCTTTAATTTCTTTCTTTAAAGACTCAAAGTTCTTGTGATGCAGGTCTTTTACTTGTTTGGTTAGCATTACCCCCAAGGTATTTTAGGTTGTTCGTGGCAATTGTAAAGGGTGATGTTTCTCTGATTTCTTTCTAAGCCCTCATATCATCTGTATATAGTAGGGCTATTGGTTTTCTTGAGTTGATATTGTATCCTGCCACTGTGCTGAAGGTGTTTATCAGCTGTAAGAGTTCCCTGGTGGAGTTTTTTTGGGTCACTTATGTAAACTATCATATCATCTGCAAATAGTGAAAGTTTTACCTCTTCCTTTCCAATTTGTATCCCCTTGATCTCCTTTTGTTGTCTTATTGCTCTAGCTTGAACTTCCAGTAAAATATTGAAGAGGTATGCAGGAAGGGGACAGCCTTGCCTTGTTCTTGATTTTGGAGGAATTGCCTTGAGTTTCTCTCATCAGTTTGATGTTGTCTGTTGGTTTATTGTATATAGCTTTTATGATGTTTAGGTATGTTCCTGTTATCCCAGATATCTCCAAGACCTTTATCATGAGGGGGTGTTAGATTTTTGTCAAAGGCTTTTTCAGCATCTAGTGAGATAATCAAGTGATTTTTGTTTTTCAGCTTGTTTATATGGTGTATTACATTGATGTATTTTTGTATGTTGAACCATCCCTGCATACCTACTTGATTATGGTGGTTGAGTTTTCTGATGTGTTCTTGGATCCAATTTGCCAGTATTTTACTGAGTATTTTTGCATCAATATTCATGAGGGATATTGGTCTGAAGTTCTCTTTCTTAGTTGTGTCTTTGTGTGGCTTGGGTATCAATGTTATTGAAGCCTCATAAAAAGGGTTTGGCAAAGACCCTTCTGCTTCTATTGCGTGGAATACTTTGAGGAGAATTTGTATAAGCTGTTCTTTGAATTTCTGGTAGAATTCTGCACTGAGGCCATCTGGCCCTGGGCTTTTTTGTTTGGGAGACTTTTGATGACTGCTTCTATTTCCTTAGCTGTTATAGGACTATTTAAATTGCTTATCTGTTCTTGATTTAATTTTGGTAAATGATATCTATTCAGAAATTTGTCCATTTCCTTTAAATTTTCAAATTTTGTGGAGTACAGCTTTTCAAAATATGACCTAATGTTTCTCTGGATTTCCTCACTGTCCGTTGTTATATCTTCCTTTTCAATTCTGATATTGTTAATTTGCATGTTCATACACTGCCGTTACCTTGTTGATTTTCTCAAAGAACCAACTCTTTGTTACATTGATTCTTTGTACCATTTTCCTAGTTTCTACTTTATTGATTTCAGCCCTCAATTTAATTATTTACTGGTGTCTGCTCCTCTGGGGTGAGTTTGCTTCCTTTTGTTCTAGGGCTTTCAGGTGTGCTGTTAATTCTCTAGTGTGACTGTTCTCCAGTTTCTTCATGTGGGTACTTAGTGCTATGAACTTTCCTCTTAGCACTGCTTTCAAAGTGTCCCATAAGTTTGGGTATGTTGTGTCTTCATTCTCATTGAATTCTAGAAAGTCTTTAATTTCTTTTTTTATTTCTTCTTTGACCCAGGAGTGGTGCAACTGTGCATTATTCAATTTCCATGAGCTTGCAGGTTTTCTGCGGTTTGTGTTGCTGTTGAATTCTAACTTTAAAGCATGGTGGTCTGATAAGATACACAGAGTTATTCCAATTTTTTTGTACCTGTTGAGGTTTGCTTTGTTGTCAAGTATGTGGTTGACTATTGAGAAGGTTCCATGTGGAGCTGAGAAGAAGGTATATTCTTTTGTGTTTGGATGGAGTGTTCTATAGATGTCTATTAAACCCAATTGTGTCATAACTTCTATTAGGTCCTTGTATCCTTGTTAGGTTTCTATCTTGTGGTCCTGTCTAGTGGTGAGAGTTGGATCTTGATGTCTCCCACTACAAGTGTGTGAGGTTTTATATGTGCCTTGAGTTTTAGTAATGTTTCTTTTATGAATGTGGATGGCTTTGTATTTGGGGCATAGATGTTCAGAATTGAGACTTCGTCTTGGTGGATTTCTCCTGTAATGAGTATGAAATGACATCTTCATCTCTTTTGATTGATTTTAATTTAAAGTCTAATTTGTTATTAGGATTGCTACCCCTGCTTGTTTCTTGGGTCCATTTGATTGGAAAATCTTTCCTCAACACTTAACTCTGAAATAACGTGTGTCTTTGAAGCTGAGGTGTGTTTCTTGTATGCAGCAGAAGGATGGATTCTGTCTTCTAATCCTTCTGTTAACCTGTGTCTTTTTATGGATGAGTCAAGACCATTAATATTGAGGGAAATTAATGACCACTGATAACTCATTCTTGTTTGTTTTGGAATGATTGATGGTGGTGGAATTGTATGTGGATTTCCACCTCTCTTTCTTTCTCCTGTTGGTAGAGTGGGATTTTCTATTGCCTATGTTTTTCTGGTTGTCGTTAACTTCCTTGAACTGGAGTTTTCCTTCCAGAATTTTCTGTAGGGCTGGATTAGTGGGTATGTATTGTTTAAATCTGGTTTTGTCATGAAATATCTTGTTTTCTCCATCCATATTGATTGAAAGCTTTGCTGGGTATAGTAGTCTTGACTGGCATCAGTGGTCTCTTAATGTTGGTAGAATATCTATCCATGACCTTCTGGCTTTCAGAGTTTCCATGGAGAAGTCAGGTGTAATTCTGATCGGTTTGCCTTTATATGTTACTTGGCCTTTTCCCCTAACTCCTCTTAATATTCTTTCTTTATTCTGTATGTTTGGGGTCTTGATTATTATGTGGCAAGGGGATTTCTTCTTCTTTTTTTTTTTTTGGTCCACTCTGTTTGGTGTTCTGTAAGCTTATTGCCCCTTCATTGGCATTCTTTCTTTAGGTTGGAAAAGTTTTCTTCTATGATTTTGTTGAATATGTTTTCTGCCCTTTGAGGTGGGTTTCTTCGCCTTCTTCTATACATATTATTCTTAGGTTTGATCTTTTCACGGTGTCCCATATTTCCTGGATAGTTTGTGTTAGGGATTTTTTGGACTTAAAATTTTCTTTGGTCGATGAATCTAATTCTCCTAGTGTATCTTCAACATCTGAGATTCTCTTCCATCTCTTGTATTCTGTTGGTTATGCTTGCATCTGTAGTACCTGACTGTTTTCCCAGCTTTTCTATTTCCAGCATTCCTTCAGACTGTGTTTTTTTATTGTTTCTATTTCAGATTTCAGCCCTTGCACTGTTTGAATTGTTTCTTCCAATTTTTGTTTTGTCTTTTCTTCCATTTCTTGCATTTTTTAGATTGTTTTTTCTTCCATCTCTTTAAGGGATTTTTCCATATCCTTTTTGAGGGCCTCTTTCATTTCATAAAGTTGTTTTTAATGTCATTGTCTTCTGCTTCATTTGTGTTAGTGTGTTCTAGTTTTGATGGTGTCGGGTCTCTGGACTCTGGCGGTGTCATACTGTTTTTTTTTTGTTGCTCCTTATGTTTTCATATTGTCTCCTTCCCATCCATTCTTGCAGTGGGTTTCAGAGGATGCCTCTTCCTCTCCTGGTGGCTGTGGGACCAGGATTCCCTTCTGGTGGGTGTAGGCAAGTCCAATGTTCTGGTAGCTCTCCACTTCCTGGTCTTGTGGGTGGAGAAATGCACTAGGATGCTGAGGTACTTTGGATCCCACTGGGATGGGTGAAAGTCCCAGTTGTAGACCCCAGGCCCAGAAGTGTGGCCTGGAGACAGGCCCCGATAGTCTTAGTCACATGGGTGGAGCAGGAGACTAGGATGCTTGGGTGCATTGGCTCCTGCTGCAGGGATGGAATCCACCGTGGAAGTCTCCAAGCACAGCGAGAGTTACTCTCTTACAAATACAGACATCACCTTAGGAAAAAAGGAATGTACAAAGATGCATGTAATGCATTACCAGACATTTAGGTAAAAAGAATGCCTCGTATGTACACATTTTCAATAAAAAAAATACCCCAAACAGAAAGAAGCATAGAAGCCTACTCTTTTGGTACCACTGCACACTTGCATTTCTAGAAACATTGGTGAAAAATAGAGGAAGCGTGTATACCATCCTGACCAGAGTCGCTTGAACAAATCAGCCACATTATCCCCTTTTGGGATAAAAATACCTTGGGGTTTCCATTTCCTTTCTTCCTTTTTGCATTTGCTTTTATTTAGTGATGACCGCCTTTAGATCCATCACTGGGATATGGACTAATTCCTCCCCTCCTTCCTCCTCCCCTCCCCTTCCCCCAGTTTACATATATGAGACCACTGACACCACTGTCTTCTTCCAAGAGGAACACATTCCTAACAGACACTGTCCAGTTCGGTTTCAACCATATATGCCTTACTTTCCAGTGTGTCTGCATTTCTGGAAAGTTACCTGTCACTTGTTTCATGTACACATCCTTTGATTAATGTGATTATTTTAATAGTTAAAATAAATGGTGCTTTGCATTAGATTTAATTTTCAAGTCAGTTGATAATGCGCTTAAGAAAAATATAGAAGTAATGTGCAGTATCCAGTGTGTCCTAAGCTGCGTTTCTCACACACAGTATGCTTTCCCTCTTTATAAAGAATACTACGAAGAAGTGTATAACAACTTGTATGCTCTGGCCTGTTACTTCGACAACCCTGAAGACAAGTGGGTGAGGAATCACTTCTATGAGCGGTGTTTCAAAATTGCTCAGCGGATCAAATTTGACGGCGGGAAGAAGGAAGCGGAGGCGCAGGCACACATGGGCCTTCTGTTCGAGGAAGAGGGTGAGTGGCCGTCCTCGGGGGTGTGGGGGAGCCTGAGACCGAGAGTCGGGAAAAGGACCTGGACGGAAGGAGGCTAATTATTGCAGTCAAAAAGCAAAAGCGAGTGGCTAAACGAGTTAGCCTCGGTGTTCTTTGAAGAACCTTCCTTGCAGGGTTCTTGGGTGTCCCTCCAGGAGCCACCAGCCCGGGGCGGCCAGCCCGTCTTCTGGAGTCGTCCCCACGTCTTTTCTGCGTCCTCTGCCATCTTCCTCAATCCCCTCTGTTTGTTTTGTTTGCACGGAACCCCTCTTTGTCTATTTTGTAATAGAATTTTCACTTACAGAACTGTTTGGAAAAATGAAAAGTCCCTTTGTGAATTTCCTAGTGCTCCTCCTCCTCGGATCAAAGTATAAAAACTGTGTAAACCAGATTCTATTTGTGACTTTACAGTAATTGCTGAAGGAAAGGCTTCTTTAAAGAAAAGCGTCATGTTTAATGTTATAATAAGACAACCCCAAATCAACACCAAGTAACAAGATGTTCTGGAAGCTGTTGAATGATGACTGATCAAGAGTTACACATAGAAAGTTAAGAAATGTGCCAAAGGGTGTATGCAGATAATATGCAAAATGTATGTAGAGGAAAACGAAAATATTTTATGAACCTGCTATTTTAAGTCTAAGTTTCTTTGGGGAGGTGGTCAGATTGATTTTATATATATATATATATATATATATATATATATATATATATATAATTTTGTGACTAGGATAATACAGGTTTTGAAACAAAATTAAATTAAAATTAGTTTCTGTGCTCTGAGAAGCTACAGCTAAGTTGGGTTTTGCCCTAGAGCATGGCACACTACAAAGTGATCAGGGACCATGTAATGTGAACAACACAGGGGATGCTAGGAACTGCCAGCTGTGGTGCGAGAGTCTGCAGACTGGACTCAGGCGACGCATGGTGAAGCTGAGGGGTACTGATAGGACTTGGAGATTGCTGGGATTTAGACAGGCAGAAACAGGAAGCATAGCTGCAGGAGGACAGGAGGAACACCCTGCTTTGAGTGGTATCGCAGTGGAAAGGAGAGACAGAAAGGGAAGCATTTTTGTTTGAAGTTGAGCCTCTGTGTATTTGGACAAGGAAAGGCATGGCTTTCAAGGGGAACTGAGATGCTAACTATGGGAGGGATTATAGCTAAAAAGCCGCCACGGTGACATAACTCAGAAGAAGCAGTTGAGAGATACCCACGAGGATGAATTATATCATTCCTTTACAATTACAGTTTATAATATCTCAAAATAGAGGGTTACTTAAATAAGCAACTCTGTGCCACAGAGTACCATGCTGTCATGAGCTTACAACTGAGCAAAATTCATTCAGTATTCAATGCTCCAGGCATTCATCAAATACTGGCTTAGACCCTACTGCCCAGCGCAACACAGTGAACAAGACCAAGTCCTGGTCTCATGGAGTCCAACTTTCTAAATGTATAGTTCAGTGCATTGAGTAAATCTGCATTGTTGGGTGATCCATCTCCAATCCTTCACCTTGCCGAATGGATGGTCTGTGCCCATTCTCCCTCCCCCTGAGCTTTAGAATCTCTGAGCAAATTTTGGTGACCATATTTATGCACCACTGATGTAACGATTTCATTTGGTCATTCATTCATTCATGCCACAACTCTTGGGAGTATCCCTTAACCTTGTATGAAGTAGTACTGTGGTTGGTCATCTCATTTGATGACAGACGTAGGGGTTGGGCCAAGATGAGTGTGAAAAGTGTGATCCCAGTGGATTCCTGCAAGGCAGCATTTGCAGGCCCTAGGATTGCTCACATTTAGATGTCCAAGCTTTACATCACGGTAAAATGCACAGTAAAAAAAAAAAGTTAAAGTTTGTCTTTGAAATGTTCTAAAGACTCTGTTTTAGAAGCTATGTTAAAGTGAGAGTCTGTTGGTTAACTTTACAACTGCCTTATGAAATGGAGTATTGTTCTTTCGATGTCTGTGAAGCATTGTGCTAGGATTTTGATGGGGATTGCATTGAATCTGTAAATTGCTTTCGGTAAGATTGACATTTTTAGTATGTTAAGCCTGCTTATCCAAGAGCATTGGAGATCTTCCCACTTTCTAATACTCTTTCAATTTCATTCTTCAAAGACTTAAAGTTCTTCTTATACAGGTGTTTTACTTGTTTGGTTAGAGTTACCCCCAAGATAGTTTACGTGGTTTGTGGTTATTGTGAAGGGTGTTGTTTCTCTGATTTATTTCTCAGCCCATTTATCATCTGTATATAGGAGGGCTACTGATTTTCTTTTAGTTAACCTTGTATCCTGCCACATTATTGTTTATCAGTTATAGGAGTTCCCAGGCAGAATTTTTAGGGTCACATGTGTAAGCTATCATATTATCTGCAAACAGTAAAAGTTTGACTTCTCACAAAACTCAGGTCCAAATGGATCAAAGACCTCAACATAAATCCAACCACACTGATCCTCATAGAAGAGAAAGTGGATGTAGCCTTAAACACATTGGCACAGGAGACCACTCTGGAAATAAAACACCAGTAGCACAGACACTGAGAGAAACAATTAATAAATGGGACTTCCTGAAATGAGAAGCTTCTGTAAAGCAAAGAATGTAGTCAACAAGACAAAATGGCAACCTACAGAATGGTAAAAGATCTTCACCAACCCCACATCTGACAGAGGGCTGATCTTCAAGCTATACAAAGAATTCAAGAAACTATATATCAAAATACCAAATAATCCAATTTAAAATGGGGCACAGAGCTAAACAGAGAATTCTCAGCAGAACAATCTCAAATGGCTGAAAGACTTTTAAGGAATCAGTCATCGTTAGCCATCAGGGAAATGCAAATCAAAACAACTCTGAGATATCATCTTACATCTGTCAGAATGACTAAGATAAAAAATATTGATGACAGCTTATGCTGGAGAAAATGTGGAGTAAGGGGAACACTCCCCCATTGCTGGTGGGAATGCACACTTGTACAGCCACTTTGAAAATCATTATGGCAGTTTCTCAGAAAATTGGGAATCATTCTACCTCAAGAGCCAACAATACCACTTTTGGGCATATACCCAAAGGATGCACACTCACACCACAAGGACATTTGCTCAGCTATGTTCATAGCAGCACTATTCATAATAGCCAAAACTTGGAAACAATCTAGATGTCCTCACAATGGAGTGCTACTCAGCAGTAAAACGCAATGACATCTTGAAATTTGCAGACACATGAATAGAAATAGAAAAAGACATCCTGATAGAAGTAACCCAGAAAGGCAAATATAGTATGTACTCACTCATAAATGGATGTTAGGCATAAAGCAAAGGCTAACCAGCCTACAGTTCACAACTCCAGAGAAGCTAGGTAACAAAGAGGACTCTAAGAGACACATACAAGATCCACCTAGGAAGGGGGAAGATACAAGATCTCCTGAGTAAATTTTGAGTGTGGGAAGGAGGGAGAGGTGGAAAAGGAGGGAGGAGAAGAGAAAGGGAGTGAGGAGGAGAGACATGAGGGAACAGGATGGACGAGTTAGGGGAAGACAGAGAGGGAGAGCAAGGAAAGAAGTATGTTGATAGGGGGAGCCATTACGGGGTTAGGGAGAAACCTGGCACTAGGGAAATCCAAAAGAATACAGAAGGATGACCCCAGCTAAAACTCTATGTAATAGTGGAGAGGTTGCGGAATCCCCTGTAATCGGATAACTACCTCGATTGTCACCATAGAATCTTCATCCAGTAACTGATGATGGAAGCAGATGCAGAGATCCACACTAACCACTAGGCAGAGCTCCCAGAGTCTTGTTGGAGAGAGTGAGGAGTGATGAGCAAAGGGGTCAAGACCATGATGGGGAAACCCACAGCGACAGCTGACCCGAGCTAGTGGGAGCTCACTGACTCTGGACTGGCAGCTGTGGAACCTGCATGGGACCAAACTAGGCCTGCTGAATGCAGGTGACGGTAGATGGCTTGGGCAGTTTGTGGGGTCACTGGCAGTGGGGCCAGGTTCTATCCCTAGTGCATGAACTGGCTTTTTTGGAGCCCATGTCCCATGGAGAGATACCTTGCTCTGCCAAGACGCAGGGAGGAGGGCCTTGGTCCTGCCTCACCGTGGTGATGGGACAGACTTCATTGACTCCCTATGGAAGGCTTTACCCTCTCTGAGGAGCAGGGCGGGGGGTGAAAATGGAGGGGGAGGGAGGAGGTAAGAGGGGGAACTGGAATTGGTATGTAAATTTTTTAAAACACATCTAAAAAACGGAAAGAAGTGCCTTTTGTCAGATGTGAAATCACAGTCTGTGTCCTTAAACAGTGCTGAGCTCTACAGCCACATTTGTATTGTGTGTGAACAAACAGCCAGGCCAGCGTTAGTAGAGTCTAGAGACTGAGAGCTTGGTGATGAGATCTGGCTGTGCAGATCCTGCAGCCCGGGGTAGGATTTTCACCAGAGTCGTAAACTCACAGAGTGTCAATGCATGCAGCTAGCATGGAGGGAGTTCACCTGGCTGTAGGGTTCCTGCTGAGACCATGGTGCTGTCCTTTCCACTCTTCTGACCTGATTGGTCCAGACAGGCAAATGGAGGCCCCACAGCAACATGTAGGCAGCAGCTGTGCCCCGAGCAGGTGGCCGTCTCCTGATTCCATGGGTGCCCCATTCCGGTTTAAAGAGGATGGGAGCCAGCAGATGGCAATGGGCAGCTTTTCAGGGCCCAAGCAAGCAGGCTATGGTTCAGGGCAGGGCTCCAGCTCCTTCAAGGGACTGCAGAGCAAATGAGGACCAAACGCACTTGCCACTGTCGGAGACTGGGCACATGGCTGCAGTTAGGGGTGATGTGCAGCCCATAAGCACAGATGTGACCAGTTCTCAGCCACAGCCCCTTGGCCAAGTCAAATAAAACAGAGACTCAAGTCCCACTGTGGCTAAGACGGCTGAAGCATATACAGTGAGCCCTGGCTCCCATTGGCTCAAGGGCAGGCAGGCTTTC